TCGTGTGAACGCCTACCAATCACCTTTGATATTATGAAACTGCTAGAACCAGAAATCCGATCACATCCCTATCTACATGCACACGATAAAACAATGCTATGGGCAGCTATCACTATGGCATTCTTCGGGTTCTTACGTGTGAGTGAATTTACAGCACCAACAACTACATCATACGACAGCCGTCGCACCCTACTGAACTCTGATATCCTCGCAGGCACCGACCTTACCATACGAATCAAGACATCAAAGACAGATCCATACAGACGGGGTTGTGACATTGTCATTGCCCCATCTGGATCATCTGTTTGCGCAGTACAAGCATACAAAGAATATCAGCAGCTACAACAGAGGTTTGACCATCACCCAGCCTTCATATTCCGAAACGGTCTCTTTCTTACGCGTCAAGCCCTCAATGACATAACGCGTCAACTAATCACACGCGCTGGTGTCCAAAATGCACACCTGTACTCAACACACAGCTTTCGCAGTGGTGCAGCAACATCCGCTGCCAAGGCCAACCTCCCTGATTGGCTCATCAAAACCTTAGGTAGATGGCGAAGCGATTCATATCAAATTTACATCACGACACCAGTGGCAGTCCTGCGGTCAGTACCTTCACGTCTTGTTAGTGCCTAAGCGGACACATGGCAATACAGAACACTTCCATGACACCGGACATTGTCACCCAGCACTCACCTTTTGTCGCCGTTTTATTGGTTGCTTGAGTTTTATTTCTAATCAATGTTTGGCATTCATATCTTTCGTTTTATAACTTCGATTTACGTGGCAATTATCACGTTTTGTGAATTTAGTATTTTGTTAAGTCTGTAATTTAGCACAATTTACCTGTTATTCCACTTATTGTCATATCGATAACTTTGAATTATGTCGCAATTATCATGTTTCGTGAATTTAGTAGTTCGTTAAGTCTGTAATCTAGCATAATTTCCTGTTATTCCACTTATTGTCACTAATAGTCTAGCTTTCCCACATTCCTATTCTGCATCGTCATGTTCTAAATTTGGGGGGTTGCCACCACAGGGCATGCAGGCTGACCCAGGTACCACGATGTCATTCCTTATGGCCTTGCGAGTCAAATCTGAGACTCCGGTCATGAGATAACCATCTATGACGCCTGCGCGTACAGTCACTGCTGGTGGCAGGCTACGCCTAGGTACCACGCTTCAGGCCTGATGATGTCAGTCACAGGCGACTTACATCATGAGGCAGGAACGCCACGACGCCTGCCGGCGCGAGCTCATCCCTCCTTAATTTTTCGGCAACTCTTGTGTCTGTGTCTTTTATTGGGCATTAATTATTTGGTTACAAATATGCATATATTTTGTAACCAGTGTTAATGCACACTGGACACAGTATTTAATCCCAACACCTATGTTTTGCATAATGAGACTTTAGGCTGAACTTTGGCATTTCATTCAAGCACACACAGTCTTAACCCATCGCGTCGCTTGGGGATTAACACTGACCTTTGGCATTTTATCATTTGGCTTAAATAGCCACCTAAAACCTTAGCTAATCAGTTCACTCTCGATTCTACACGAGTCCACATCGGTCCGTTCCAGAAATCAGCAAACCACCCACCCACCCT